TTCGTGGGTGATCTCGCAAATTTGTAAAAATTTTCATTCTAAATGAACTCTTTGTCAAGCTAAAAGTTTGTGTAAAATAAATAAAAACCTTTGTTTTGAATCAAAGTTTTTGTTAGCTTCCGAACATTTCTTTCTTTAAATCTCAATTGTTAAATTACATTTGTATTTATTATATGGTAGGGAATAGTAGAACAAGTATAGAGAACATGAAATTTTAAAATTTAAGACCTGTGAGGTTAAAACTGTAACAACATACTTCTTACATTATGAAGAATCACTACGAATGCTATCTACATACTTACACTATACATATTTATATTACGGTAAACATACCCATTCTTTGTATTTTCTAAGCCGAATAAAAACGTTTACTAAAAATATTCCAGAACGTTTCAGTATTGTTACATGTGAAGAAAAAGAGTGACACAAAGGCTTCTAGATTTCACGGGCCATTTTCGCCTACAATCCAAGAGGATGAAGATTGAGGCCGTGTCAGCAGCAGATAAGAGTTTTAACATGCCTATACGTTTGTAAACTCAGTGCTTTATTCCACATCGGAACAGAAAACTTTGATGGAAAACCACACCAGCATAAATCGTTAGTTGAGCAAAATTTTCGCTAAGAAAAGTTTCATTTTATCGAATATGCTGAAACCAGCACATTCTAAGCCAAACAAGTTCAGAATACTTCGTATATTTGAATTGAGATCCTTCGGGGATCCCGTCTGATTGATTTTATCTACTAGTTCGTTTATTTCAACCAAAAGTTAAGATGGCATTAGAGTAATACCCACTAGAAATCAATGGGTAGTTTAATAGAAGTACTATAAAATGTTTTTGGAACATTAAGTCATTTTAATTGACTTCCAAAAAGGAGGAGGTTTTATGTTCGTCTGTACCTATGTATGTTTTTTTTTGTATGTTCACCGATTTCTCGGAGATGGCTGAACCGATTTTGCAACTTTAAATAGTATTGTTTTAAGATAGATCCCGAGGTGGTCCCATAAAATTTCTTTGGAATATAGAGTACATATGTTTGCGAGAAAACAGAAAAAACCATGAAATTTCAAGTATGTTAACAGATTTAATTAGCTTTTTTTATCTACTACTAATTGTCATATCAAATTGAAACTTTACATGTGTTTGTAATTCCAATGATAGTACCTATAGTAATTTAGTATCTTGGAGTTGATCTGATGGTGAGGCCAGAAGACAGTGTAACTCTTAAACGGCTTATTGTAAAACGTTTAAATTGGAACTATTTGCTTTAATTTAATAAGCCCAATACGTTAGAGTTAGATTTTAGAGCCTAGTTTAACCGACTTGCAGAAAGAGGTATATCCACCAATTTGAGATTTCCTAAAGGTGGGTTGAACAATTTTGCTACTTGAAACTGTATTGAATTAAGATAGGTCCCTTGGTGGTCCAGAATTATTTTTTGACATAGAATTTACCGTTTTCGAAAAAATAAAAAATAAACATGAAATTGTAAGTATGTATGTTCACAGATCTATTAGCCTTTTTTACCTACCTACCTTTTTGTAAGTGCCATAATAACTAGAAATTTTCCAATTTTTGTATTTCTGATCATAATATAGTTATTTTGTATCATCGAGCTGATCTGATGGTGCCTCACCATATAGGTACCCCACCAGAAGGTGGATAGTGGAACTCTTCAATGGCTAGTTAATACTTTAAGTTTGAGCTTATATTGGTTTCATTTGACAAGCACAATACGTTAAAATTAATACGATTTTTAGAGCCTGATTTTAAAGGCGAAGGTGTTAAAAGTGAGTTTTTAGTATGTTAGACTTTATATAAAGGGCAGCATACATGTATATATATAATATATACATATATAACATAAATGACTTAATCGAATATTATGTTATTAAAAACTTTCTTCTTACAAATAACCAACTTATTACGTCTAAGTACACTAAAAATGAAAGAATAAACACTTAAAAAAATAAAACCGACCTCCAGGCACTAAAAAGTAACTGAACGGGGGTTTTCATTTACTATAGATACCTAATCAGATATTTTCCAAGTCATGATTATCGACACAGAGGCCGAATCTATAGTTTTTAGAAATTTTGTGTGTCCGTCTGGGAACGCATCACGTGAAAACCACTGGGCAGGTTTTGATGAAATTTGGTAAAATGACAGCTGGTTATCCGGGTCAACATATAGGATACTTTTTACTGAATCTATTTATCTATATATCTAAACGGTCAAACGTAACTATAGACGAACCGGAGCGGAGCAAGGATGAGTCACTAGTTTATTATATAAAATACAAAATATAATTACAAAGACAAAATATAACCAAAGGCGGCAGATAGGAATTTAGATTCAACCAAATAATATAAGCAGGTGCAAGTCGTTTCTGAATGCCATTTGTTCACCATCAGTAAACTTCACCTCGTAACCCTAAAATCTAATTGGATTTAATTCCATTAGCGCAGGCCCAAATGGGGCCCTTTAATTGTGCTGACCAACACCGGTTCATTATACCGGTCCCAACCTCGATATTTGTACGGCGTATGATAGTGCAAAATATTCTCAACTGACATTAAAATTGTTCGTAATGTATGCGATACCCTCATAACTTTGCTTTATACCTAACATATGCTAGTTCACGCAATTTTGGGATGAATAATTTCAGAAAGGGTCGAAGGACAACATAAAGATAAAAATATGAAAGTTTCAAATTATTTAGTAAGTATTACGGGTAAAAAAGGCCTTATCAGTCTTATCTTACTTATTAGTATTTATATAAAGGACAGATTCAATTCGTACACATAGAATCACAATTAAAGCAAATGTTAAACATCATGAGAATACCTGAATGTCTGTGAGAACCTAATAAGTTTTTGAAAGACAAGTGAAGGTAAAAGATGTGAGTGACCCAGAAGTGGGACGCTGAAAAGCTAAATACATACATATGTATTTAGCCTCGTCTCAGCCCAAACACGTCCACTGCTGGACATAGGCCTCCCCCAAAGATTTCCACGATAACCGGTCTTGCGCCATCCGCATCCAGTGGACTCCAGCGACTTTGACCAAGTCATCGGTCCACCTTGTGGGAGGCCTGCCCACGCTTCGCCTTCTCGAGAACTTTCCGTCCCCAACGACCGTCCGTTCTACGAGCGATGTGCCCCGCCCACTGCCACTTGAGCTTGGATATTCTGATATTTAGCCTATCTGCAACAATATCAAATTCTTACTTTATGATATGTATGATATTATATGTCCAAAGTATCAAATTAGTTTGTCTCCTCTTTTAAACCGTGACTAAAATAATTTTAATGAAAAGAAAACGAATAACTATAGTAATAAGGAACTATAAAAGTCAATTCAGTTTAAGTTTTTTAGTAAAATATTATGAGTGTAAATAAGATTGAAGTGTCTATTTCTAATGTCAAAATAACAGCTTTTTAATAAATACATATAAAATGATATACGACGGTACTTATAAAAAAACACACTTTAAAAAAGTCTGTCTTACCGTTTGTCTGTCTGTTTTTTCCGGCTAATCTCCGAAACGCCTAGACTGATTTTGACGGGGCTGTCACTAGCAGATATCTGATATTCTTTGGATTAACTTAGGCTACTTTTATTTTAGAAAAATAATTAAGGTCCCGCTCAAAAAAATTTAAACGTATCTAGGGATGCACCTTTTTTACATTGGGAAATGCATTTAGGCATACAACCTGCATACATACAGGTGGTTAAGTGGGATTCACCGGCAAGGACAGTACTACACACTAAAATCCAACAGAACCTTCCCCGTCCTAAAGGGGCGTCGCAAGATCGCTTACGCACTCAACCACGACTTCCCGACGGCAGACCTGCCAAAACAGGCTACAACAACCATTGGGTTGCTCCAACAGTCTACTCTGTTATCAGAGAAGTACCAGGAGCTTGAGCCCCCCAACACATAGTGAACGCACATTGAGAGTGACCTAGGGATGCACCTTTTTTTTTTTTTTTTTTTTAACGTTGGGAAATGCATTTACGCACGACGTGTGGGACTCACCGGCGTAATACAGCCAGTACTACCCACTAAAACCCAACAAAACCTTCCCCCGTCTTAATGGGGCGTCGCAGGATCGCTTACGCATTCAACTACGACGCCCCGACGGCAGGTCTGCCGAAGCAGACCACCACAACCATGGGGTTGCTCCACAGTCCACTCTGCTATCAGAGAAGTACCAGGAGCAACCCGCATGGTACACCGCCCCCCGAAGAGGGCACCTCCCACCACCCACCGAAGTGGGCAACCTCCCTGTGCGTTTCTTAGCTTCGCTACTACTACTGAGCCCCCCCACCACGACAAGGTGAACGCACGTTGGGGGGGGGACCTAGGGATGCACCTGAGCGAAGCGAGGCTAAGCCGCTAGTTGTGTACTAAATATAAGATTTTCTACGTTTGATAGTAAATAACTTCATTTAATACTATATCAGTATCTAGTGTCATAGGTCAAATACAATGCTTTTTATCGTCCTTTCCCGGACTTAACCGCTAGTAACATGCTCTTTTCCGTTTCATTTGATATTAAATAAAATAGTGTAATTTGTGTAAAAGAATATGTGATTAACTAGTTTCCATTCGCTGCTACATTTGCGTGGTCCATTAAAAATAGGATATATTTATTTGGAAATAGTATTTAAAAATGTTATTCATTTTATTAGTGAAAGAATTTGTAATATCGATATAGTGGTTCTAGAGATTATCTTATGTATACAAACAAACGAACGAGATTTACCTGCTTATAATTGTATAATGATACGCAATAAAAGTATGTTATAAGTCTAGTTTTAAGCCGACAGTATTATACAATATCTATATAGCGTCTACAATCTTCGATCGATAAGGATAAAGTAGTCATCATTGTTTATCTTCTCTTACATACACTATAAATAAAAGTTAATAGACATTCATTCACAATACGTGCTGGACGAGGGCAAAGTTAACACGTGAAAAAAAAATTGAAAATGCCCCCAAACGCAATTGATTCGTTCGACGTCAATCCCGAAAGAAGAGGAAATAGTTCAAACATAATAAATACAGGCAACACAACAATTCCCCAAGTGACATTAGAGAATACCGACAGTTATGGCTTAAAAGTATACCAATCTTCACTAAATCTACTGGCTCACATATTAATTGGAGCTACAGTTGGGATTTCAATTCTTTTTGTATTTCGAAATGGATTACCATTGGGAGCTACTCCACTTCATATTCTTTTGTGCGTGCTCGGCGTGAGTATTTACTTGTTTCGATACTTAGTAGATAGTTCAAATGTTAGGAAATTTTATCATTTATCTGTTTCCGTCAAGTTTTTCCATTTAGAGCTCTTTGTTCTAGTCAGTTGCCTTCAGGCCCTAACTAGGTCCCACGCGTCATACGCGATATATGGAGTAATAGACTTTTTATGAAGCTAATGCAGTTATATATTTTTTCATACATTTTATGGCATCAAGCATTATAAATATACCATGGATAAAATAGCCAAATTACCAGTGTAGTCTGATGAAATAATATAAAAAATATAATGTAACTTATTAGTTATTACTCAGCCATTTAAAACCCCTTCCGTATTAGCAAATAGTTATCATGTTAAAATTGAGAGAATCTCAGAGTTATCATAACCAGGGGTTATCTTTGTCAGAATAAATACTAGCTTACACAGAAATAATTTAGTTTCATATAGTGAAAGCTGTTTTCAGAACTGGATCAATAGTTACAGAGGTAGTTTCTATGTTTAAATTCCCAAACTTACCTCTTCGTAATATTATGTAAATGTGTAGATGTAAGGTTATTCTACCAGTTCCAACTTATTTTTCAGTATCAATTATTAATGGCCCAAGCAATTCTTAGCTTATGCCCTCATAACGGATGGTCTGCAAATCTTCGACTATTCGACAAAAAAGTAGCACACACTATCTTGCAAGTTCTGGGATCAGCCTTGGCAATTGCTGGCAGTTTTATCAAAATACTTGATAAGTCAGAGCACTGGAATACTTTGCATGGACAATTTGGTAAGTTATAAATTGTTTAATAGACGATATATATATATATATATATATATATATACACTCGCTATAAAGTTTGAAGAATCTTTGTTTATAGTCTATGTGGCGGCATTCAGTCAGGTTGGGGGTAAATATTTATGTTAGCCATTTTTGTTGCGGCATGATTATGTATGTTAATGTATCGCCTAGGAGAGATGTAAAGTTACGTTAATTTTTGTTTAAATACAACATTAAACGTATATAGATAAGAACAAACATCAAATAATATCCAACAGCAAGCAACAGTCATGAGGACTGCCGACAGAAGTAAAAACTATAAACTATAAACAAACAGTTGTTACTTTTGGATATTCAAATTAAATAAATATGTTGGGACATTAACACACAGCGCCATCTAGTTCCACTGTAAGCTACGAGGCTTGTTTTATGGATACCAGATAGTTGATACACTACACATATATAACTTTAAATACATTCATATTATGAATATAAACACCCATGACAAGAGTACAAACATTCGTCATCACACAAATGAATGCCCCCAGCGGGACTCGAACCCGCGACCGCTGGCATAGCAAGTAGGGTCACTACAAACTGAGCCAAACGTGTCGTCAAATTATTTGATCTTAAAAATTAATTGTTTGATCTTAAATTAAAATTTGTTAATTAATAATTTACATTTATCTGGTTTTGACATCTATCGGCACTCAGAGTGTTAGCGTTAGCACTTCACGTGACCATCCAAACCTGCCTATAGAAGTTTTCACTTCAAAAAATTTTTACAGCACTGGTAGCCTTGGTGTTTACCTCAGTTGGCCTCGTGAATGGAATTGCTTCGTTCTACGCTTACAATTTGCGGAAATGTCTTCCCGGAAATCTTTCAAAGATTAGTCATATCTGTTGCGGAATTGTTGCATTTAGCGCGTCCTGCATTTGCCTTTGTTACGGTTTCGACAAAAATAGCTTCAAGACCTGGGCCTCACCAGAATTTGCCTACACAATTATGGGTTTCACCTCCTGTTACGCTTTTATCATTATCATCAACCCTGCGATTACTTTATTTAGCAAAACTGCGCGGGTTTTCGAAAAATAATTCGAACTATTAATTTTTAGTATTATGAGTATAAATTGAATCTCAGAGCTTTGTATTCAGTCCACATTCTATACTGTTATATTGTTTAGAAAACATATAAAACCTTAAAATATGCACAAATTTTCATGTCAATTTTAATGAATTATTTTTTTCTAAATATTTTTCATTTACAACCATTATTACTAATATTTTATAGAAGTAAATATCCTACAATATTATTATAGACTTTTTTGACTACTTAAATTTAACAAGTTTATAAGAATATTTTGACAATCATTCAAATTAAATTATTCAATAAAAATGGCATATCCAACAGATATATAGTACCTGGGTGATCTAGGTTCGCTCGGAGTTCTTTTTTGTTATATCTTTTTTAGATTAAAGAAAAACAAAGTAAAAACTTTGTATCCAACCTGGATTCGAACCCGGAAACCTATGATATGATGTTGTGCCTTGGTCGCTTAACCACGACGCTTATGCCCGAGCATGCGAAATTAGCGACCATATTTTGCGATGAATAATGCGAAAGAAAACTCGAAAACACGCGTTTTCTCAGACAAGACTAATATAGATCGAATTTTCACCCTCGAAAGCCCTCACATACCAAATTTCAGTGAAATCGTTAGAACCGTTTTTGACAAGGTCGGTGTATATGTAAATAAATAAATATACAAGAATTGCTCGTTAAAGGTATTAGATATTTTTGTAATAATATAGACATACATAGATAACTTTAACAAGAATTATCTATCTATCTACCTATCTATATAAATAAAAATGAATGTTGGTAAGCACATAACTCAAAAATGACTGGACCAATTCGGCTATTTTTTTTCCGTATGTTCCTTAAGGTCCATGGAAGGTTTAAATAAAGAGAAAAAATGAAAAATTTACAAAAAAAAAATAAAATTATATGGCTAACGCTGGCTAATAACTATTTATATCTATTTAAAACGTACCTACCGACGAATCTGAGCGAAGCGAGGATGAGCCGCTAGTAAATCATAATTACGAAAGAAGTGCGCTACTAGATGGTCTCGACATTCTCTTACCTAATATTTATAAAAATAAATGCTACAACCTACAAAAAAAACAGCAAAGGCAATTATTTTAACGAAGAATCTTTATATTGACCATAAAGTGGATACATAATAGCTAAGGCAGACGTCTTTGAGATGTTACAAAACATCAAAAAAATCTTACATTCGCAAACATATCAAGCAAACTCGTTCGGAAACGGGCTAGCGATCACAATAGATAACTGCTCCGTGTAGTAGCAGCTTATCTTTATGGCATCTGAAGCTAAAGGAAACTGCAGAAAAGAGTAATAGCCCTCGATACGCATATTCTGAAATAGAGTATTGTTGCTTCTCCTAATGTACCTTTTGATAAATGTAACACTTTGCAAGTTTGTCAACCTCTGGCTATGATTTTGGAATTTACAACGCCAAACAATCTGTACGTATTTTATAAATTTTTGACTATTTTAAAGCTCTATATTAGGTATCTGTTTTTTTTTTTGTTTTTGAAATTGCGTTTTAAAATAGAAAATAAGTTAATATATAAGTATATTTTGTTATATCTGTACTTTATTATATTTGCAATACATAAACATTTGTCTGCTATGATCAGAAACATGAAGTGTTTATTAAAAAAATGTATTTAGTTCGAGTGTTTTTTTTTCCTTTACGCGAAATATTTAATTAAAAAAAAATCTTATACAACTTCAAAGTTATTCCTACACAAATTATCACAAGAAATAATTTCACTCCTAAAAGAGGAATAATTAAACCTTGAAAACGGATGAAAGATAATATCTTTTATCTAATTATTATGTAGATCTAAAGATACTCGACTAGAGCAGTGAGCACCACGAATAACAAGGAAAATATAATATTTTTTTAAATTATGTTAATACAAAAACTTTGATATTGACATATAATTATTTTCTTAGATTTACGCGATATATTTCACTGAGTACTATGAAAATGACGTGATAGGATTTTGGGTGCGAAATTGATTACATTCGTACATACATACATACATAATATCTTATCGCAATGTCAATATTATCAGATAAAATTGTGTAGCGCATTAAAGAAACTTTGCAATTCTTTAAGAATGTACCTGTTTTAATATTTTTCTCTTTAACATGACAATTCACAAATATAAAGAAACAAAGGAAAATTGTAGATTATGAATTATACAGTTACTTAAAGTAGTAAAGCAAATGAAACATTTTCCTTAAGACAGAATATGACTTATAAAAAATTATATAACACTAAGGAAAATATTATATTGACTAACATTTACAATACAATCTACTAGTTTTAACCATGGACATAGAAAAATCTTTATAGACATAAAACTTACACTCGAAAATTACCTAGGTACCTACTGTTAATTCATACCATGTTTTTTCTATACAAAAAGCATAACCAATGATATCTTTTAAGCTGTAAACTTAATGCAAAAGATTAATTTGTCTTCCTCGGGCATATCCTATACAGAATAAATAATCCGACTAAATATAAAATTAAACCAAATGTGAGAAGCACCAATCAAGGCGTAAAGGCAATATAATATAAAAGAAATAGTATGAACATAAACATATAATCTCAACATATAAATAAAAACATATAGTAAGTAAACTGCTACCCTGTTAATAAAATGTATGCGTGTAACAATAATAGCTAAAAATAAAAAAATCTGAATTATTATAATAAAAATCATACACACACAATTATAATTTAGAAATCGAGTTAAAGTATGTACTAGTTTTTATGTATATCTCTTTAAATATTCGATTATCTATCTCCTTATATATTTTATCTGCAACGTAACGGCTCAACGAATTTGAGTAAAATTTGAGTTATAGATAACTCATATCTGGAATTAAGACATGACCACTTTTATTGACGTACTTGTACCTAGAACGCAAACGGATCCGCAGACACAAACTAAGGATAAAATTAATCTATTTATTATCAACAAAAAAAAATCTGAAAATATTATGATATTGAGGTATCAAACGTGCGCTATTATCGCACAAATGTCACGCGGTAATTGAATGAAATTTTGGGTTTTCCTGAAGAATTATTATCTGTGGATTAGTAGTATAAAAACTGATACAACTAAGGCTTTCCAGGTGAAGCTGACAAAACAAGATAATTACAATTCAAAACAAGTTATAAAAACTTATAGGATCACACGTCTTAAGTTTCGAAGTAGCTAGCGCATACCTGTCGTTTACACAAAACTTCAAAGTTCTCTAATTCTAAATAAAAGTAACCAGGCTTTGAGCTATAAAAATATTTTGTATTTTGGTCGAGATGACAATCACCTATTACTAAAATCGGAAACGTTATTTTTTTTATTAATTACAAGAAAGCTATTAATTATAAGAAATATAATATAAGAAAGAGATTTTGTCTTTTTGCATCAATAAATATTTCTAGAGTCGACTTTTTACGTTGTAATTACATAATTTTATTACTTAATTTAGGTTTTTATCCTTGTTTATTGTTTCGTACTTATTATCTACTGGCCTAATAGGTTTACAATCACTATTGAACATAATTAAAGAAAGTATAATTATTTAGTATTCCAAAATCAGCTAGTCTCGCAACAGCGAATATGAATGACTTATCTATCCGTATTACTTACTACATATACTTGCGTTCAAAGACAATCATCCCACATTTGATATTGCCTACTATATAAAAATTTAAGTAATCATTATGTAATGTAAATCGGTATTAAACTATCGTCGTAACGTCGACTCAAGCTACGCTTTATAGACGTGCTTGTTATCTCCGAAATTATTTAAATTATCTATTTCAATCATATCATTAACTATGACGTTTTCTTACAAGTACTTAGTACTTTGTACAGTGTACTTGTACATCCATACTAATATTA